AGTGTTATAATTTAATAAGCATCTCAATTGACTATTAAAATCCACATTATGATCAGAATTGTAATTCCAAAGATGAGGCCTTCTGAAAGCTTAATTTACTGTGGTGGGAAGCAGCAGCTGTTCCAACTCAGCAAAATTAGCTTTTTTAACTTAGATGCCAGGGAAAACAGATGTAGATGAGATAATAACAACAAAATCCACCACCAACATGCAGCTTCATTTCTCAACACCAGAAGACTCAAGAAAGGTGTCTACAGATATATCAGCCATGAAAGGGAGGCAAAGGAAAACGTGGAGTCAACTGAGAACAAAATAGGAGGACGTAGTGACAAAAGGCATGGAAGAGGTCAAGGGTCTTGATGACTTCTCTGCCTTAGGCTTTGTTGGTCTGTTCTTGGCTTCCCTGTGCTGAGCAGTGGGGCCTGGGGCCACAGAGCATCACCCACACAGCAGAAGACTGAGCTGGAGATCACTGAAGCAGACTGGGCATCTTCAAGTCCATGGGACCATGTGGGATTTGTCTGTAGGAGCCAACGTGACTGCAAAGCTACTCTTCACCCCTGGTGACCGGAGTGGTTCCTGATGACTTGAAAAAGGCAACTGTTGCTCACAAAGGCCAACAAATAGGATCCAGGGGCCTCAGTCTCCAAAGAGATTATGGAGTAAGCCCTCCTTGTTTTGCTGTGTCCACATACACCAAGGGCAAGATGACTGGCAACAGCCAGCACAGATTTACTAAAGGCAAATGGGGCCTGGTCAACCTCCTCACCTCTGAAGGCACGGCTCTGCAGGGCAGGGTAGGGCAATGTGCAGCCTGCACCTTGACCTTAGGAAGGCTTCTGCCTTCCTGGGACAGGCAGACTGTAATGTGGGTGGAAAATGGGCTGAACTGCTGGGCTCAAAGGGCTGTGATCAGCAGTATGAAGTGCAGGCAGTTATTGGTGACATCACTCAGCGCTTGGCAGCAGAACCCATGCTGGTTTATCTCGGCGTTACTGACCTGGACAAAGGACTCCTGAGAAAGCTGGCTGATTACACCACGCTGGGGAAGCAGTCCCAGGTGCTGGTCAGAGGGACCTCTGCAGGCAGGCTGGCACAAACCCCTGCAGGTTCTGTAAAGGCAGAATGTTGTACCTGGCACGGAGCAACCCGTGCTGCAGGTCAAGCTGGGTCCTGCCTGCCCATGGTGCAAAGGGCTGGCTGCGTGTCGGGCTGCATCAGCAGGTGTGGCCAGAGAGTCAAGGGAAGGAGCTATTCCCCCTCCGTGAGATTACTGTGTTTAGTTTTGCACTGCCCAACAGAGACATTGACATCCTGGAGCGAGTACAGTGGGGATCAACTAAAATGAGGGGGCAAAAAAAAATGATGCATAAGGAAAGGCTGAGAAAATAGCTCAACCTGAAGAAAAGAAGGCTGCAGGGAGATCCTACAGGTGTCTGCAAGGACTTAATGGGGGGAAGTAGTAGAGAAGACAGGCAAATTCTTCTTGAAATTTTACAGCAAAATTAAGAGACAGTGAGTACAAACTGCCGCAAGAAAAAATCCAGTCAGATATGAAAATTCTGCAGAATGGCAATGGCCAAACACTGAAACAGGGTGTGCAGAGAGATTGTGAAATTTCTGTCCTTGGAGATATTCAAAACTTGACCATAGATAGGCCTGAGCAACCTAACGTGACTGCTTTGGATGAGGAGACTGTTAAGACATTTGTTCCAAAGTGAATTACTCTGTGAATTCAGGTATGGTGATAGGAGCATCCCCCAAGTGACCTACTACAATTACAAATGTGTATCTGAACACAGACCTATTTTTACCTTAGAAATATCAGGACCATTTCTCTGCTTTTACTATTTTCCTCTCTCTGAAGGTCGGAGATGTGGGGCAATAGCTTTTTTCACACCTTAAAAGAATACAACAGAAAGTATGTCAACACTGCAAGCAAAAGCACAAAACAGCACTGCTTGGAATAGCAGCATGAGCTTAAACATGTCTCGGGTGACGGAAAGACGTAGCGTCGTGGTCTGGAGACAAGGCAGGCAGGTACATACCTGGAATCAGAATCTGGAGCAGCAAAGCCTGTGCTGAAGTGCTGCTGCTGGAAGGAGAGAAAGCCAGACTAAAGGTAGTTTAGACACACTTGGAGGAAACCTTCCACGTGAAGGACACGCGGTGTGCGGATAGACAAGCTGTACAGCACTGCCTTCCACAAAAAAAAATGTCCTGTCTCCAGTTCCGGGCTTCTGCTCAGTTCCAGGCTTTGGGCAGCCCCTGCCTCCCTACCGAGGCACTGCAGCCTGGCTTCCCCGGCGTGAGCTCAGGACTCTTACAGCTGCCCTCAACTTCTGAGCTGTGCGTGCCCATCCATTCCTAAAGACACAGATGTCTTCAGACGTACCACAGACAGCTGGGTCCATCATGGCCAGGTCCAAGCACAAAAAGCTTAAAAAAACGCCAAGCTCTTCCTTCATGGGTGGTTCTTGCAATGCCAGCCAACCTCAGCAGTCAGTGATCTGACAGGCAGAAGCCTCCCTCCCAGGGATGTCACTCCTGTTGAGGTTCTACTGCTCCCCAAAGGGATGCTCTTCTCCCTCATGACCACCCAGCCTAGGAGAAATGCCTAACCAAAGGCTGAATAAGAGGGTACATTTATTACCTTCCCCCTCTTCAAGCACCAGCCACAGAGGCTGCCACTCATCTCACAGTCAGAAGGCACATGTACACCAAGAAGATGACTTTTCCCAAGAGCTCGCCACACATTCAGTGAAAAATCAGTAAAACAGTAAAGTATTGGCCATCTGTTCCCCCCACAGTCACTCAGGTTTGCTGCCCCTTTCCCTGGAGCATTCACACTAATTTTCATATCACCTCGGCAGAAAAGGGTCAGTCCTGAGCTTCTAGCATAACATTAAATCAAAATAATACCTATGAAAAAGGGGATGAAACTATTGGAAAAGAAAAAAAGCTGAAGAAACCAACATACTGAACAGCCGTAACAGATAATAGTTTTCCAAGCTACTTATCAAATGTATTGATTCCACTAGTGAGTATTCGAATTATTAATTTTTCTTTTTAATCTCCTCTCTTCTCACATCAATGGAGTTTTACAAGTAGCCTTCTTTAAAGACTGTGGGGGATGGAGGCTGGCACATGCTGAGGCACCTGTGTGTGCAAACAAAAGTACATTACATATGTATACAAGACTGCTAATAAAAACTGGACATAGCTAATAAAAACAACTGCTTATTGTCACTTTCTCACAGCTTTCTGATGCCAGCATCTCATAAAACCTCATTTAAAAGATCTTTTAAGTGTCTTGCTTAAAGGTGCCTAACTTGGGATCTGCTAGCCCAGCACAATATACCCTCCTACACCTTATGCTCGATCTGCAATCCCTTACTTAACAAAACCAACCATAAAACTTCACACTCCCGAACTGATTAGGTGATGCTAACAGAGGACTTCCCAACTCGATAATCACCCACTCAGGGGCCAAGCCAGGAAGCACTTTGGGATGTAAATTCCAGCCATCAGGAAACATCGAGAGAGGTTCCCCCTCCAGCTCACCGGAGGGCTTTTGCTCCTGGCTGCCTTCAGCAGCCGCCCAGGCACGTTTTGCTCTGAAGGTCCAGATGAAATCAGTTCTTGCTACAAAAGGCTGGCAAGACGGTTGTGAATTTTCACTCACCTCCTGGCTAGGCAGCCTTCCTTCGCACACCCTTCCCCTTGAAGATGAACCTTCTACCACTCAAGGCTCTAGGGAAGGAGAAGTGTTAGTTTCACACCTGGCTGATGAACTAATCAACATCACAAGTGAAAAACACCAACGGTATCTTATCAACCAGTACCGGTTTCCCTGCTCAGGGTGAGCTTCTTGCACATATCTAGCACCATCTTAAAACACAACCGATCTTTGTAACATGTACTTTTCCACAGAACTGCTTAACTGCTTTGCAGATATTTGGTTAGGGATTTAAAAAAAAAAAAATCTAATAAAATAACCTACATAATGATTCTTGTCCAGGATCGTAAAGAAAATGAAGCCAGCTCCACAGTTTTCTATCAGGGTACAGAACAAACTTCACAAAATGCCAGGGGAAAAGAAAAAAGGAATTAAAGCAGTATTTTGTATACAGACAACTGTTTTTTTTATGCTTTATTTTTACATCTGCTGTGAAAAAACTAATATTTTTCCCCAAAGGAAAAGTCAAAAAGTTACCGCTTTGAGGGTCTGTGACGAACATGCAACTTGCAGATTTCTCCAGGAAAAGGAGTGTTAAGTTCTGCGTGGTTTCGGCTATTCATGAGGGGGGAGAAAAAAGAAAAAAAAAAAACATCTAACTTTGCAAAATGTGTCCATTGCGAACGCTATCGAATGGAAAGACGAGCCAAGTTTTGCCAAAGCTGTAACTAGGAGCAAGACTGGAAATTTAAATCTTGCATGATGCACAAGACAGGGTCACGTCTAATGACTCATTTTTCATAGACAGAAGCCCTTGTAATTCGTGCTGGTAGCCATAACAATTATCCGCTATTTTCTTCTTCCTGGTCTGAGTATTGAGGAACGAATTTCACAATCTGGGAAAAGCTTTAAAAGAGCTGGTTCAGCGAAGCGCTCTCAGTCCCGTTCAGCAGAAAAAGCACCTGGCGTGTCCAGGCGGAGCAGTGGGGCAGCTGGTCGAGGGGGGAAAAGATGTTTTTTTTCAGCATCCGTTCCACTCACTGGGCTGCTCCGAAACCCTCCTCTAGTCCCACTGCAGGCACAGCCAGGAGGACTCGCAGAGACAACAACTCAAAGCTGTTGCACACTTTGTGCTGATAAATAAAATAAACCAAAGGAAGTGGATAATACACTTGGTGATGCTGCGTGCTCCCAACTTCAGCACGCAGGCGGAGGTATTCTAGGTCACCACCGGACATCACAGCTTGCAGAAGTGATCAAAGGAGTAACAACGACTACCAATGTAACTACACTTGCAATCGAAATAACCGATTTCTCCTCTTTCCAGTTTGTAGTTCAGCTAGGACTCAAAAAAGTTCATGTGCTTATACAAGAGCAATAAAAAAAATTAAATATTTATTTTGAATAACAAGCTTAAGTTCAAGCTGCAATGTTGGCAATGTAGATTTTAAAACACAGATCACAAAAGCGTGCAGAAAAATGTATGTGAGCAAAGAACAAAATAATACTAAGAATTATACTAAACAGCTGCTGATTTTAAAGGAAAAAAAAGGCTTGTAATCACTATACAAAATATAAAATGTATTAAACACTACCATCCACAGAACAGAGGTTTATTTTAGTTTGATTATATTTAAAAATTATTTGTGTAGTTATTTATATGGTGAATTGTAAATGAATATTATACAGTAACCTCCTTTTGGTCTGCAAAACCTTTGTTGCACTATAGCACATCCAATCACATTGCAAAAAAAAAAAAAAAAAGAATTATTTTTCCTTACTATCAATAAAGAAAACAATCATTTGTAATACAGTAAATATTGTCAGGTCTACAAATAATGAAATTAAAAATGACTCCTTCGACTCTGAAGCACTTTCCATGCAAAGTCAGCACTTGCTCGTTTAAACAGAGTGCACTACCAAGCAATGTCCAGGGTCGTAGATGCTCTTGGTAAAACTATACCTTACAAAAAAAATTTAAAAAATAAAATAAAATCAAAGATTGAATGTAATCATGCAACCCTCTTACTACCAAGTATACCCACTGTGTCGCTTATCAATTTATTGCCTTTTTGGAATATCACTCAAGGCATCAAAATTAGACTTATGATAAATATACATATAATGAAAGGACACAAACTGCTATTTGACACTACTACTGGTAATGTCTGTGCTACGTGAAAGCACCTTTAAAAAGAGCCTATGCGGCAAGAGATAAGTGTCTAAAGATTCAAAATGAATCAACAGTATTGGATAACAATATAATTCTCAACTCAGAAGCTGCCTCAAGATTAGGTGCATCTTCAGTTAATGTAACAGGAAAAAAAGGCAATGGATTTTATTTCATTAATTGTATCCACTCATAAACTGACCTAAGGCCACCAGATGTGCAGACACAACAAGTTTTCTTTTCTTTTTACAGTTCTTTAAATTGTAGGATGATAAAGGAATAGATCTATTTAAAAACAAACAACTATTTCATCTACATTAAGAGGTGGCACCGGGCGTTGGGTTCACGTTCTGAGTGGCCACCTGTGGTGCGACTTCAATGATTCGTGGTTTGTCTATAATTCTGGCCGTGCGGTTGCCCTTCTCTACAATGCCAATAATCCATGCTTGGTGACCTTCCCCGTATTTTGGAGACTTGATCTCGGCACAGAAACGTGCTGCCTGTTCTCGTGGTAAACAGATGAGGAGGCCTCCTGCAAAGAAAAAGAAAAAAAAAAAGTAGAGCATTAAAATATCTGACTGCAAAGCATTTCAACCTTGATCTGCCAAATCCCTATTGAGACAAACACTTGGTGACTTCAGCGGGTTCTGTCAAACTCTGGGACTCCCAAGAGAAGACACGGTGGAAGTCTGAGCTCTTGCTTTACAGAAAGAAGTTTGTGCCTGGATCCAGTGTTCAGTGGGTGTGTAAATGAAGCCAAACACACACAAAAGATGTTGGCAAAAGGACATCACGCTGATGCCAATAAATGACATCCTGAAACAGCACCAGCATTGAAAACTTCCAACCGAGGACCAAAGTGCTTCTACGCAGAAACATTTTTTATAAAGGTCATATTCGGACACCTATAACCACATACTGGTAGCAGCTGATCCAGTAAGCAATCCCATTGTCTGCCGTGAAATCACTCATCAAAGTAGGGGCTGTTACCAGAGAATGCAAGAGGCAGAAAATTAAACACAGGCTTGATCCAGTGCTCCCTGTGACAGTCCCTTTGACCTCTCTGAGAATTTTTTAAACTTTTTTTGGCCTTCCCTGGAAGATTTTTTTCTTTCCTCAAAGACAACTGAAATAGTATTTACTAATGAATGCTTTTCAGAATCAGCACAATAACTAGGTAGCAAGCTTACCATTCAGCTTTTAAACCTAAGAATACTTTCATTCTAAGAACCCCAAAGCACTGAAGGAGGGGGCTTGGTGAGCGAATACTAGAATGAGTTTCATTGTCAGCTCTGGCTCAAATTTCCAGGGGCCTGCATCCAGATCATTAAATGTTTTGATGCTACTCTTTATTACTAGACCATTCAGCTTTTCTGTACTCCTTACCTTTTTTACAGTTAAGCTACATTGCAAACGTGTGAAGCACTGCAAGACGGAGGAGCAAACTCATCTGCAGGTGCCTAATTAAACCTCAGAGCACTGTACGCGACACGCAGCTCGCATCCACATGCCGTGCTGCAATCTGACACACGGCAGCCTCTTGTAAGGGAGGTTAAAATATCATCTCCTGCTGGAAAATGTTTGGTGAACACAGGCAAGAGAGCATATTCACGTAAATGGGGCTCTTGGCACACACTGAGGCTTGCTTCAAGAGTTATTTGACCCAAAGTCTTCTTGTCCAGGCAAAGGGCATCAACCAGCAGTGTAAGTTGTGCCACCAGCTTCTGAGCCAAGCCTGGGGGCAAAGGGCCACCTGCTGAGCTGGCCACCCTGGGCTCGGTGCCACCTCCTCCTCCGCAGGCCTTGGACAGCTTTTGAGCACCACTGGCACCTTCCTGTTTGCTTTTCCAAAGCAAACTCTTCTTCCTGGTGGTGACTAAAGACACTTTTAATTTAAGGCCATAAGGAAGAAGCAGCTACTGAACATGAGGAATTATTTATAAGGACACGTAGAAGGGTGAAAGTTATTTTTTAGGTTCTATATGAAGCAAATGAGTGTGCCATCCAGAAAAACGCCTGCCTCTCTCAGGTGTTTCAGAACATAACATCAAGGTAATTCCATCAAAACAAAAAAAACCCAGAAGCTTGAAAGACAGCATTTAAGTTACTCCAGATGTAAGAGACGAATCAGTTGTGATGGAATAATGTGCCACTGCCATGGAAGGCTCTAGATCAAACTTACGTCATAGTGCAAGTGAGTCAAGGCAAAGGCTTAGTGGTGCACAGAAGGTGCTAACTAGCCAGAAAGGAGGAACAGAAGCTACAGTGAAAATGGAAATAGGAAAAAGCACAAGAATAATCTTCACTCAACTATCTATTCCCCACACACTCTCTTTCTGCAATTCTGAGCCACTTTTGTACGCGTACTCTGTTAACACTCTTTGGCAAGATCAGAAAAACATACAAAATTCCAGTTTCCAATCAAAAATCACTCCCCACCTGCTGGCTGCATCCCACAGTTTTAACAATAACCCTTAACCAAGGCGACAGGCTCAGTAGCAGGATTCTGATCTGCAGGGATTGTAATTATTTCTCTGATGGGCTGAGCAGTTTCTTTAACCCTCTGGGTAAGTCCTTCAGGTTTTCCAGTATGCAATGCTGTGGCGGTTTTTGTGTTGTGGACAATTACAAGAAGTCTTCACCTGTGCAAGGTCACAGCCACCACGTGCTTAAGCTGTTGCAACGTGCCTGTGGAACATAAAGCAGCAGCGCCACTCTGCACCGAAGCAAATCGCGTTTCACAGCGTAACAAGTTTCTGAGGTCTGCATCAGCCACTGCCTGAAGACGAAGCGAGTGGGCTGCAAGCGGAACGGACATCGGCGTGGTGGTTTGAGAGCTCGCTGCCCGCTTCTTTTGGGGGTCTGTGCTGGTTCACCTTGCTAAAAACCTAAAGGGTTTTATTAGGAGGTTTTGAACACTGATGGGTTTAATTGTCCTAACGCAAGCCGGGAACTGGACAGAAAACTTCAAAAGCAGATTAGACAAAGCTTTGCAATTAAGAGCAGAGATGCGAACAGTTCATGAATCGAAACCAAATGTCCTTGCTCCTGCTAATGGCTTTCTCCCACAATGACTAACAAAACGATGAGATCATTAGCCTTGCCTCTTGCCAGGTACTAACAGAAGCCCTTCTTTTCCACCCATCTGTCTACTTCCACGAAATCTGCACAAACACTACGTTGTTGAGATACCGCTGCCGCACTAAAAAAGTTGGCTGACACCTGTCAACGGTTTAGTAGAAGAGCGCTGGGAAAAACACACACATCCATGATTGAAACTAACTGCCTGATCACAACGCTAACTTTTACCAAAGAGTTACCTAAGAGAGAGTGCAAAATCATGTAAAATTGCAATTTTAAGGAAATACACCATAAGCAAATGTGCCTGGAGGATGGAACAGATGACAAAACAGATCTTTCCAACACTGACTTTTGTCAACAGGTGCCCAGCAAATATGCACTGGAAAAAAACTAAGAGTCTTAAAATCCATTCAGATCATTTTCCAGTAAATTTCTCACTGCCTGCCCACTCTGCTGAAAAACATCTGTTCAGAAAAGAAGCTACAGAGAGCGTATTTCTTGAAGTTTAAGACGAGAGAAAGGGCGTGTCGGTATTTCAGTATCAACAGCCCCAAGCAGCCCCCATCCTCACAAGCAGAATACAGGCACAGCAGACATTTGCCTTCATATAAACCAATGCCAGGACATGTAGTGTGCGAACAGCCCGGGTGTCTGAATGCTCACGAGCTGTCCCAGCACGCTGTGCCCAAGCTAAAACCCGCTGCTGCCAAGGGAGGCTAACCAGCGGGAGCTGAAAGCCAACGGGGCTGCAGTCTCACAGCTTTCAGAGCAGAGCCACTGCCTGCGTGGTTATGGATCTTTCTCAAATTTGGCAGGCGCCACCCCGTAACAAATCCCTACAGCCACGTCTCATGTGAGAAATGCAACGCTGTGATGAAATCAAATGTATCTGTTTTGAGGCACCCAAAGTTCACAAACAAGCACATATGCCCTGCTGGTTTTTTCATCATCTGTGTTGAAATGTGAGCCCTTCAGTGTTTCAAAGACATCTCTTGCTCAGTCCCAAAAGAGACTCTAAAGTAGACTATTTTCTGCTTCCAAGTACTCTCGCAGCAGTGCCTACATCCGCACTGGTTTATGTTTCTGCAGTGAAAAGACAGAACTGGATATCCCCGGGGCGCAGGATGGGCAGCTCTGAAGACTTGAGCGCTTGGTTTGTCGCTGAACCACTCCCTGGCCAGCTGCTGTACAAACCTCTGCCACAGCTACTCACCTGAAAGGGCATCTTGCAGTTCCCACTCTGCATCCGCATTACTTTTTGGACTCTTTGCAACTGATACCAAATGCTACTGCTCTGGTTATGTGAACTCCTGGGTAGTAAAAATCTGTCTGGTGCTACCAACCTTATTGACAAGGCTTGCCAAACTGCCACCAGATATTTCTGATCTCTGCTGACTGACGCTGGACTTGAACTCTTGAGAGGGTTCACGTCTCATATCCTATTACACAGCGTGTGAGCCATACAGCCTCTGTAGGACAGAATGTCTGTTTAAACACAGATGGCTAAGGAACAATTCAGCAGATCATGGTAAGCTGCGAATTCACTAGGGGAAAAGTTTATGGCTCTCACTGTGATGCTTCTTTCCAGATCTTGGGACTGTTTTGCTTCAAGAGGCCGCCTCGGTTTTGAACGGCAGAGAACTTGGATAATATTTTAGGAGAGCAGGAAGAGGGTGGAGAAATGAGATAAGAGAAAAGACAGATTTTTTTGCTACACCTCCTCCATTTCTCATACAGAAAGAAAAGTCATACTGAAGAATAAAAACGAAATGGAACAGGACAGGAGATTCAAGAAGAAAATGAACAACAGAGACTCACAGCAGAAGACAGCGATCATGCTAGTCAGCAAAGTGGCCTACATTTAATAATAAGGCAACCTTCAAACATCAGAAGTTCTTATCACCTGAGGACTTTTAAAAAGCTTATCTGATATAAACTTGGTGTCCATAGCCTGATTTTCAGTACGCCTGTTGTATTCACTGTCACAGCAATTACAGCTTTTTTAACTAGTGCACTCAAGTAACAAAGCGGTCAGAGAATAAATTCTTGGGGGGTTTTGTGAGTTTTGGTTTTTGCGATTTTTTTTTTTCTCCTGCTAGTCACAGTCCCTTAAAGTCAGATTTCACATATGTAACGGAGAAAATCTATATTCTTGGACGTTGGTATGCTGTGGACAGAGAAGACCTCAGTCACTGAGACAGGGTCCATTCAGCACTGAACTTCACGCACATTCATAATAAGAAACAAAACACTCATTTGCCTGGCAAACCTACTGCAGGTGCCTTTACCTTTGAGAAAACTGTCAGCTGTGCTGGGATTTTCAGATACTCACTGTTCTGGAGTAAAAAGCTAAGAAAAAAAAGTTTCAGAAGAAGAAAAAAAGGTTTCAAAAGAATTCAGAATCATCACTGCAAAATGCTCTAGATACAGCGAGGGTTTCTGCATCAGTGTTTCATAAGGAAGTAGGCAGCATTCAGAACAGGACAGCGGTTTGGAGGTTGAGCTGAAGAAGTTAACTGCGATCAGTTGTGTGGCTAATACTCATCAGCTTGGCTATATGCCCAACCAACTGCAATTCTGAATGCAAAGCACAGGACTTGTACAATTGAAAAGTTATTAAATTCTAACGTGGAGGTGTAGGAAAGGAAGAAGGTGCCAGAACCGTCACCTACCTGAAGTCTCCGGACAAGTCCCATGCATGAGGCCAAACATATTGCCACAAGCCTTACTGACAGCAGCCATCTTAGCAAGAACAGGAAGGTTATGAATAACGAAGGACACCTCATTTCGCTGCTGCTTGGCAAGGTTTTGTGCATGCCCCAGGATTCCAAATCCTGTGATGTCTGTAGCTGCATGTGCATTGAAAGTGTGCATGAGTCCAGCAGCTACAACAGAGAGAGGGAATAAAAATCAAATCAGATAAGAAAAAAAAATCAGGAAAAGCAATGCTTCAATAATACTGTGCATAGTTTGACTGAAGCAACATAACTTTAATTTGAATCTGATTACAGAATCACAAAATGTTCGGGGTTGGAAGGGACCTCTGGAGATCATCTAGTGCAACCCCATGCCAGAGCAGGATCCCCTAGAGCAGGCTGCACAGGATGGTGTCCATGCGGGATATGAATGTCCCCAGAGAAGGAGGCTCCATCACCTCTCTGGGCACCTGTGCCAGGGCTCTGTCACCCTCAAAGCAAGGAACTTCTTCCTCATGTTTAGATGGAACATCCTATGTTCAAGTTTGTGCCTGTCACCTCTTGTCCTGTCACTGGGCACCACTGGAAAAGGCTGGCCCCATCGTCCTGACACCCACCCTCTAAGTATTTATAAGCATTGACAAGATCCCCCTCCTCAGTCTTGTCCAGACTAAAGAGCCCCAAGCCCCTCAGACTTTCCTCATAAGAGAGACGTTCTAGTGCCCTAATCATCTTCGTTGCCCTTTGCTGGCACCCTCTCCAGTAGTTCCCTGTTCTTCTTGAACCAGGAAGCCCAGAACTGGACACAGCACTCCAGATGTGGCCTCACCAGGGCAGAGCAGAGGGGGAGGAGAACCTCACTTGACTTACTGGCCAAGCACTTCTTGATGCACCCCAGGAAGCCATTGGCCTTCTTGGCCACGAGGCACATTGCTGGCTCATGGGTATCCTGCTGCCCACCAGGACTCCCCCAGACCTTTTTCCCCAGAGCCACTTTCCAGCAGGTTAGCACTCTCATCTCTAGTGCTCCACAGGGTTACTCCTCCCCAGGTGCAGTACCCTACACTTGCCCTTGCTGAATTCCATAAGGTTTCTCTCTGCCCAACTCTCCAGCTGGTCCAGGTTAGTGTTTAAATTAATAATAAAAAACCATAATCAATCATGCTTGAAGGGAACTGGGCTTCACCAGTGCTGCATGCAATCCTTAAAAAATTCAACTGGTATTTAAGGTATTAAATCACACTGAAAATCGAGCACTCAAGTTGTATTTATGAGCATGTTCTATTAGACATGTGCTAACAATTTATATTAGTCTAAGAAATAAGGGTTTGCTCCAGATTCAAACTCCCCAAAGCTGAGGACCAGAGATGTTGTGAGTCCAGTTCTGCTGCATCAAGGGCAAGGACCAGACTCCTCCTGTACCGGTTTTCTCGGATCTCTTGCCCTGCCACTTTGTAAAAAGATCACATCAGAACTTAAGTTCTGGACACTTAAGGTTGAAGAGCTTAAGAACAAAGCCTGCAGGTGGTGGGGGAAGGGCCTCCGCCTCCCCACCTATGCATTCATGACATTCTTGGACATTTACAACTGCAGAGCCCTGGGTGGGAGAAGGGCACCTCTGCATGCAGGACAATGGCTCCAGTTAAGAATATTAAGTGCTGTTAAAGGTGCCTGACAGAGTGGAGGAACACAAAAACAAGAATGCTTTGCTCTTCTTTGGTGCTTCCCAATACAAGAGCAGGACCAGAGCTCTTTCCAATAAAGCAGTTCCAGTCATTTATTTTTTCCTGGAAGACTTTGTGAAAGAATGAAAAACCAGTGGGATGACATAACAAATACCAAATGAAAACTGAATAAACTATCACTGTTCCTTCAGTTGAGAAGGAAACAAGTAATTCGATTCTCTGCTTCTCCAAAGATCAGTTGAACAAAGAAGGGAAATGCTGGATTAGAATTTTTAGGGTAAAAGCAGACGCTTGCCTCTACCAAAATTAAAAGGGGAAAAGAAATAAAATAAAATAAAATAAAACCCAACAACACAAACCCAGAAAAAAAACCAAGCTACACATTCCACACTTTGGGAAGCACACATTACTACAGAATTAAAAAATAAAAATGCAAATTGAAGTGTACAAACCCAAAGTGGTTCTCCTTTTTAATTCTATTTCAATTTTCTTTAACCTTATTACAGTCAGGCCCTCAGGAGCTCTCTAGGTACAGAACATGAGCCAAAAATCCAATATATTTCCCTTTAAAACATCCTCTAACTCACTGGGATGTTACTTGCAGCACCCACATGAGTCATAATCAGCTCCAGCAGTATTTGTGGGTTTTGCTGTATAATTAAAAGAGGGTGTTTGATTTTAATTTGTTTAACTGAACAGCAGAAAGATAAGGCAGAAGGAAGGGGTAAAGTAGCTGTGTCACATTTCCTCCCGGCAGTGAAACAGAATTAAATATGGAACAGGAAAAACTCACAACCTTCCCTCTGTATCCCCAAGACACACCTCTGTTCTTACCTGTTCTGTTCAGTCGTGCCATGTTCATCATTGCTTCCTGGTAGGCTAGTTCTACATCCTCTTGCGTTACTACTAGTTTGATTTTATTCCACTTTTCTGGCTAATGGATGAAACAAAAATGATTCTTTAAGATTTTCAGCTCTAAATTTTATAGCACACCCTTATTAATAAAACCCAAAACAAACAAAAAACCCAACCCTCATCTGAAATGTATTTTTAACTTTTCAAACTCAGTTAAAGAGGGGCAAAAGGTTCAACAGCCAGAGGCGTGTGCCTTACTCTGCTGTATCTAAGTGAAGTTCATTTAAAGATTTGTTAGGCACTAAGCACTTCAGATCTTGTTTTCAGCAGCAGAACGCAGTGGAATAACCTATCCTAGGGCAAAGGATACTAGGGCAAGGCCACTCTCTGGCTTGAGCTCTGCAGTTTGTTGCTCGATGTTGGGATTTATCATCTCTGGCTTCTTGGTGTGTTAAGAGAAAATTCTTGGACACTGGTCTGAGGAAAGCATGCTAAGGCAGGATGGAATTGCTCTAGTGAGTTAGGATGATGACAGGTTCATAAACTTCCTTTACAGCTGAACAGCAGGATCTCTTCCACCCATTCTCCAGTGCCTTGCACGGACTGATGCCTCCATCACATTATTCTAAGTAATGCTCTTCATCCCAAAGGGGTCTCAGGACAACTTGGAGGAGGTACCATTATAAAGAGCAATTGTTTCATTCAAAGCTGAAGTAATTCCAGATCCAGAATGAAACAAAGCAACCTTTTAGTTGTTAACAGCAAAACCACAAACTGGTTTAATTTTCTTCTTTTTTTTTTGCAATGGAAATAAAATTACAGAAAACAAAGTAAATAAAAATAGGATGTTTGAAGCCACAGTGCCTGCACTGCCATTCCATAGAATGAATCCATAGAACAAACTTCTTAGTAAACCAAAGGTACAAAAACTACTAAGCACTGGTATATGATGCTGCACTGCTGAAAGACCTTGTCAAAGAGGTTTTTATCCTTAGAAAATGGGTCTTGACTTTGAGGGGTGTAAGAGAATCCAGAAACGGCAAAACAGAGAAAGACTGTTCAGCCAAAACAAGAAATTTGTTAAAGTGCAACCACTAAGATCAGAGCTCCTGAAATTACACTGAACTGCATCTGATCAATTAAATAAGAGAGCAAGCAAAAAATAATTAAAAAAAAGAGGCTATTAGAGAGGGGACAAGAATAACGATTATTCTTACTGCAGATTTGACTGAAAAACATGAGCAGTCATTCTGCCTTATTTTTCAAAAACATGGTTCTGTTACGGAAACCAGTCATACAACGGGAGCGGAAATCACAAATGAGGTGGAAGCAGAATGCAAGGCTGAGGCTAGTAGAGCGACGAACACAGGTAGTATACAAATTAGATGCAAATTCCTCTCCAGTATAGCAACTGGATACTTGGGTTATTAGACAGGAAATAAAAGTTCACGAAAATCCTCAAAGAACTTTTAAAAATCAAGCTTGGATTTCCAAACGGGAAGGGTCTGTAGGCAACAGTAAGGGCTAGAAAACTCCTTCCAAAGGGGTGCGTCACAGCAGCCCCTGATGAAACAGGAACAGGCAAAGGGATGCCAGGTATTTTAATTTGTTTTGCAGCCATGTATCTCTACACTCCAGTCTTCCTTTCTTGCCTGTGCATAAATTTGCTGTACTATGTACCTTCTCCCACATACTTTCCAATATGAAGTCCAATTCCCTACCAAAATCTGATTTATGGGTGGATATTTGTGATGGGTACTTCTAGTTTTCTACTCCTTTGCAAAACAAAGCTGAAGAAAAGGCAGCACAGCAACTCAGAAATTTTCCTACCACAATCAAAGATATATGCTCTTTACACATAATAGAAGGATTGATTTCATTGTTGTCCTCATTTTTCAGGCCTGAAAGTGTTTCTGGTTGACAGTCAAGGAAATTAGAAGCACTAGAAATATGTGGAGATTCAGAATATCCTTAATTTGCAAGTCTGTTTGTCAGTACAATAATAGATACATTAAGAAGTAAGATTCTGGCCAGAAAACATACTGTAAAATTGGTGTTGTGTTGTTTCACTTCATTTTCATATCAAGATTATTAGAGGCCCTGATCCTTATATATGACTGGAAAATGCAGCATTCTGCAGAGGTCAAAACTGCTAGACCAGACCCTATGAAGAAGGAAAAAAATATTTTTTCTTGTTGCTCATGCTTCAGGCTCCAACGAAGGTTTGAGCTGGCTCTTTCCCACTTTTGCTAACGCAGGCTTTGTAATTAAAATTCATCTGACAATGTAGTGGCCAACAGCCAAGACAAAGTAGATTCCAGCTCACTCCTCTGCCAGTCTATTGGCTCAGTGGTCCCAAAAGTAGAAAAGATGCATGTTTTTAAAGTGTAAACTGAGCAATTACGATTCTAAAGACACGTACTGGGAGCCAGACAACATAAGCAGATGCCAGTTTTGCAGTCACTTTTCAGTTCACTACTTACAATTTTGCCCGAAGTAACAGATGGAACTACTTCTACATACATAATGCCGCTAGAAATATTCTTATTGGATGCACAGGGTAATACATGTGAAACATAAATATATTTCCATGTACACAAGCAGAAAGCCCATGAACACAGACAGCAATCTTGGCCTAACTGACATCAGTAAGTTTTGCCAATTACTTTGGCAGGTGGAGTAGGGCATAATTTTACCCAGGGTGCTAGCCTGTTGTTCTGTTAGTAAACAATTCTGTTTATTACAGCAATGCCTGAGAACTAACTCAGAATTAGATGCAATTACGATGGGCTCACTAAGCACAAAACAGTAAACTGTCTCTTCCACACAAGTTGTGCACATTAGCAGGTAAGGCTGACACACCAAGGAGGAAGGAGGAGAGGTGGTAGATCATTCCCAGTTGAGCCCTCAGTGTACTTATGACACCGATGAACTTCATCATTTTGAGGTTTTGAGGGAATGAGGAATGTCACCTTTAACTCACATCCATCCTCCCTATTTCTTTTTTTGCAGCGTACTCACAATATCCAGCCACTGGTGGACAGCTACAGCCACTTGTGTTCCCAAGGGTTTAGTCAATACAAGCACGTCTCCTGGCACTGCATTGTCTGGCCTGAAAACAAAGAATTCATATATTAATTACACAGAGAAATTCACACGCATTATTAGGAATAAGTGCTTATAATTACGTTTTTGCAGACCTGTGTATCTTGATGCACAGTTAAAAACCCAAACCAACTGCAGAATTTGCCCTTTGGGATTCATCACCATGGGGTATTATTCAGCAAAATACTGAAAACTTATTTAAAAGTGCTAATTCTTTTTTCTTGAAGTAGAACAACGCTTGCAGTCAGACACACCCAAGATTACATCTTTTCTTTCAATTTACTGAAGATACAAGGTAAAAGAGGAAAAAAAATTGACCTTTGTTACTCAGGGCATAAGATAATCGTCAGTAGGATCATGAACCAGTTCATTTGTGTAGTGTAACATGCCACAACGGGACATTCAAAATCATCTACCATTAAACAGACAGAATGCTGTAAAGACGGCAATTCTGTAGTTCCCTACAGCCATTACCAAGATAATTGGGAGACGGTTTAAAATTTATGTATAAATACCACATAAATTTATGTCCCAAATCAGCCTTCAAAACCTTTAAAGATTAGATGTCTAACTCTCCTGTCAAAAGGAGAACAGGATCAGAAAATACTGGGGGTTGGGGAGATGTAAAAGGGCATCCTGTGTAAAAAAGCAAATATGTACAAAAGAGATGTGGCATCTGTTGAGTGCCGAGGACAAACACAAGCAGGAGAAGGTACTGCTTTACTCATCAGGAGAGAGATCACAAGATCACTACACAGTATTTAAAGGATTTTTACTGTATTCCTTCAAACCAGTGCCTTTGACTGTTAAACAGTTTAACTTACATTATAAATTCATTAGGCTGACAGACTGTTGTGGCCACTCCTCCTAAAACAATCCAGGGATTTAGCACTGTTTGGCCACCAGTAACAGATGTTCCTGCCTCTTCTGCTGCATCTTTGAAACCCTGGATAATTAGAGGCATCACTTTGTCTCTTTCCTAGAGATCAAAACAGAAGTCAGAGTTCCATACACAGCAGTGCTACTCATTTCAAGACTGGTCCAGGGCTTTCCGTCACTCAAGCCAAATGTCACTCAAGGCAAATGCCTTAGACGCAAATAGTTCACAACAGAAAAGCCAATCTTAGGAAGAGGTCAAACTCCTGAAAACTGCACATTACCCAACAGAGGTATGATTTTACAGCTCTTTGTAAAAGAGGTTAAAAAGATATTCTTACACCGAATAAACATTCTTCAAAAGGTCATATAAAAGTAAGGAAGTCAGAGCTCTGGAAACTCAGAACAACTATCCTGCTGCTGCAGTCAGGTACAGCCACAGCAGTGCAGTGCAATACGGCAAATTCAAATCAAGCTGCTTTGGCCTCCACTAACCTGCAAAGTTTCAACTTATTTCCTTCTAAGAATAAATATGCTCTTCGCATCAGAGCAAAACAAACACGCTGATCACTTCCACAAAAGAGAGAGAAAGAGAGAGAGAGAAAGAGAGAGAGAGAAAGAGAGAGAGAGAGAGAGAGAGAAAGAGAGAAAGAGAGAAAGAGAGAAAGAGAGAAAGAGAGAAAGAGAGAAAGAGAGAAAGAGAGAAAGAGAGAAAGAGAGAAAGAGAGAAAGAGAGAAAGAGAGAAAGAGAGAAAGAGAGAAAGAGAGAAAGAGAGAAAGAGAGAAAGAGAGAAAGAGAGAAAGAGAGAAAGAGAGAAAGAGAGAAAGAGAGAAAGAGAGAAAGAGAGAAAGAGAGAAAGAGAGAAAGAGAGAAAGAGAGAAAGAGAGAAAGAGAGAAAGAGAGAAAGAGAGAAAGAGAGAAAGAGAGAAAGAGAGAAAGAGAGAAAGAGAGAAAGAGAGAAAGAGAGAAAGAGAGAAAGAGAGAAAGAGAGAAAGAGAGAAAGAGAGAAAGAGAGAAAGAGAGAAAGAGAGAAAGAGAGAAAGAGAGAAAGAGAGAAAGAGAGAAAGAGAGAAAGAGAGAAAGAGAGAAAGAATCTATTTTATTTTTTTCTGCTTCAGAGAGATGTTACAAAGCTGGCATAAGCAAACCAAAAGTATCTATGCAGACTGACACACTAACTGGCAATGAGACGCTGCCTTGCCCTAAACTGACAGAAGCAGGAACTCCATGTCAGTGGAGACAACAGTATTAGCAGCAGAAGATGACAATGCATTGCCACAGGAAACCAAACTTTTAGCAAGTGACCTCAGAACGTTTATGTAGCAAGACCAATACTACAAATTAAGACATTCAATAAAACCACCTCCTCTTTAACAGGGTTCAAACTTTGAGGAGAAAACACACTAAAGGTAAATACATCCTAAGCATGTTTAGCTATTCAAAAGTAAGTATCAAAAATCTTACCCTATCTGTCATTTTATTGCTGATTCCAAGAAGCATCAACATGTTGTCACATTCTGTGACCCCCATGGCATAAAGGTCACTTAGGACATTGGCACACGCTATCCGTCCCTGAAAAAGAAAGACAGACACATACAAAAAAAAAATCTGCAAGACTGTTTGTGAACGTTCAAACACCAGGCAGGAACAAAATTTCCAGCGTGAGCTTGCGCTCTGAGACAGCTGCTTATTCCACAGGCTCCTGCGTTAAGAAACCCAGTTAAAGATGTGGTATGATCCGCTTTGTGCAACGTGCCCTTCCAGAAGTGCAAATACTTGTTCCCTTTACAGGTAAGGAGAGAACTCATCCCAGCTGTCCTGGTCAACGTCCTCTCTCACTGACTACACAGGAAACCCACACTGAGTCTAGACCGGATGCATTTTAGAGGCCAAAATTAAGCTTGACAAAGTCTAGCATTGACAAGAAGCTCAGTTTACTTAATCTGTTTCTATTAACTTGATTCCAGCACAAAACTGCAACACTTGATAAAGACTCCTATGTAAGTCACAACTGTTGGGAAGCTAATCCAAAAACCATGTATTGCTGTACCTCTCCTGTGTTGGAATACGCAGGAGACAGAGATCTTGATGAGAAAGCTGCTCCTCTGCACTACCCTTGAGGCCAGGTCTCCACTCCTGTGTTTTTAAGGGAGTACTCTTCCCAGAGGACGTAGTTGTGCTGCCATCCCCCAGCCACACAAGTGCTGCTTCTGTCAGGAAGCCATTAAGAACGCGTCTGCAGAAGACAGCACGTGCAGGGGATTAAGGGGCTCCGGACCCCCAGAAGATGGCCTTGTCACCGCTCAGGAGGGCGCGCAGCTGCTCAGGGGAAACGTCTGTCTCCTGCCACTTGCATGGTGGGGGAGATGTGGCTACTCTACCCCTTGTTCCGATGACAAGATAAGGCTGAAGTTGCTACAGCACTGTCCTGGTTTGAGCTAAACAGAACCAATTCTGTTCAGTGATTTTACTTTTCTGCTCAATGCCTTCTAAGAGATTGCACTTTCTGAAGGCAGCAGCATGTTTTTGCAGACAGTGTCTGCTACTAGAAGTGATACAACTCGATGTTTATAGTTACTACCAGAGATTGGTATGCAGGAAGGCTCTTGCTTGTATTTGCTCCTATAGAAACTAAGATCACTTCTGGATCCTGGTGCCATATCGGGCGTGCCAGGAAGTAAGAGGGGTCACAAAGAAATAAAAAGGCTGCACCTCCAGGGAAGAGCAGACAGGACAGGTCACCCAAAACTGACCAAAGTACTCCATTCCATATACATCGTATGCACTTTATAAAGCTGAGCGATTACAACGGTTAAGGACTTGAGGAAGTGTGGCCGGGATGATCGGGCAGTGAGGTGGGCTGGGAACTGGTTGAACGGAAGAAGTCAGAGAGCTGTGGTCAATGGGGCAGAGTCCAGTTGGAGGCCTGTGTCTAGAGGAGTCCCTCAGGGGTCAGTGCTGGGGCTGTTGCTGTTCAATATATTCAGCAATGACCTGGACAAGTGAACAGAAAGCACTGTCAGCAAGTTTGCTGATGACACAAAACTTAGAGGAGTGGCTGACACACCAGCAGGCTGTGCTGCCATTCAGAGAGACCCAGACAGGCTGGAGAGTTGGACGGGGAGAAATTTTGTGAAATACAGCAAGAGGAAGTGTAGAGTCTTGCACCTGGGAAAGAA